TTTTAAAAATTTGAAAATGTGGTTTTTTTTTGAAACTACTAAATAAATTATGTTTTTATTATTCGTGTATGTAGCCTTGAAAAAGGAAGTACTATAGAGTATTAAATAAATATTTTTTATAAATTTTGAAAATCTTAGTTAATTTTTTGATGAAAAATTGATTGACGGAATCTTTGAAAATTTGTTTTAATTTAAAATTTATTAATATTTCATTTACTTATGAATGAAATTAAATAATTAAATACTTAGAAAATGCAAGAAATATTGATGCAAATAAATGAATTTGTGCAAATCTTAATAAAAAATATAAATGTTTCTACAAAAATTTAAATATACCCCAAAAATAGCTTGTAAATAATCTTTTTTAAATCGAAACATTAAATTTATCTTATTTTACTTAAATCAAAATGGTATTTAACTCTAGTAATTTGGAGGAAAAAATGAAGAAAAACATGAAATAATAAGAAATAAATTAATTGATAATCAAAGCAAAAGGTGAAAATAAAAAAATAATTTAAATTAAAAAGCAAAGAAGAAAAAAAACGTAAAGGAAAAGAAAAATAATTCAAATAAATACTATCCAATAAATCAAAAGAGCTTTATTGTTTTAAATTAATTTTATAATTAAAAATATCATAATCGAAAACAAATGCACTATTTTTACTTAAGGGCAAATGTTAAATTTGAGAGATTAGTGCAATTTGTTAAAGCAGAACCTAGGTTTGATGCACCTTCAGCACCAATTTAATTTTCACTTTTTAAATATTGAAGAAAATATTAATTTGAAGGAGGAAATAAGGAAAAAATAAAAAATAAAATAATTTATAATAAAAGGTCAAAATAAAAAAGTTATTTAAATTAAAAAAGAAAAAAAAAAAGAAAAATAGCATAATTAAAAGCTTAAAGTAAATTAAAAGAGCTTTATTGTTTTAAATTAAATTTTTTAAAATAACGCAGTCCATAACAAATAAACTAACTGTTTCTACCTAAGTTCAAGTGTCAAATTTGAGAGATTAATGCAATTTGCTAAACCAGAACCTAATCCTGATGCACCAATTGAGCCAATTTAGTTTTAACTTTTAAATATTGAAGAAAAATATATCATTAATTTATTTATTTATTTGAAGGAAACACTGAAGAAAAAATATGAATTAATAACAAAGAAATAAACTAATTAATAATAAAAGTAGATAGATAATAAAAAAAATGATTTAAATTAACAAAAAGAAAAATAATAAAATAAAAAGCTTAAAATAAATTAAAAAAGCTTTGTTGTTTTAAATTAATTTTTTTTATAATTAAAAATATCACAATACAAAGCAAATAAACTTTTTTACCTAAGTTCAAGTGTCAAATTTTAGAGATTAGTGCAATTTGCTAAACCAGAACCTAAGTCTGATGCACCCATAGCACCAATTTAATTGAAACTTTTTAAATATTGAAGAAAAAATATGTTACTATTTAGTTAATTTGAAGGAAAAAATAAAGAAAAAATAAGAAATAAATTTATTAATAATAAAAAAAAAGCTGAAAATATAAAAAGAGGATTAAATAAACAAAGAAAGAAGAAAAAGAAAAATAAATAAATACAATAACAAGCTATTTAAATAAATTAAAAGAGCTTTTTTATTTTAAATTAATTTTTATAATTAAAAATTTCACAATTCGAAACTAATAAACTGTTTTTACTTAAGATTAAGTTTCAAATTTGAGATATTATTGCAATTTACGAAAGCAGAACCTAAGTGTGATCCACCTTAATCACCAATTTAATTGGCTCTTTTTAAATATTGAAGAAATAATATATAATTAATTAGTTAATTTGAAGCAAAAAGTAAAGAAAAAATGTGAAAAAATAAGAAATAAATAAATTAATAATAAATAAAAACAAAAGATGAAAATAAAAAAATGATTAAATGAACAAAGAAAGAAGAAAAATAAAAAGGAAAATAAATTAAATAAAAGGCTATCAATTAACTTATAAGTGCTTTATTTTTTTAAATTATATGATTAAAAAAATAGTAAAAGAAACTATTTTTTACTGAAAGTTAAGTGTCAAATTTAAGAGATTAGTGCAATTTGCTAAAGCAAAACTTAAGCCTGATACACCTTCATCTCCAATTTTATTAGCTCTTTTTAAGTATTGAAGAAAAGATATATAATCAATTAATAAGAAAGAAAAAATGAAGTTAAAATAAGAGGTTATTAGAAATTAATTAAAGATAATAAAAAAAAGTGAAATAAAAAAATGATTTATATTAAAGAGAGAAGAAAAATAAAAAGGAAAATAAATCAAATAAAAGTGTTGTTTAAATTAATTTTTATAATTAAAAATATCAAAATCCAAAACAAATAAACTGTTTTACACAAATTCAAGTGTTAAATTTGAGAGTTTTGTGCAATTTACTAAAGCAGAACCTAATTTTGAAATACCTTCTTTACTAATTTTATTGCCACTTTTTAAATATTGAAAAAAAAATATATCATTAAATAGTTAATTAGAAGGAATATAATGTGAAAAAATAAGTATAAATAAATTAATTAATAATAAAAGCAAAAGGTGAAAATAAAAAAATTATTTAAATTAACAAAGAGAGAAGAAAAAGAAGAAGGAAAATAAATCAAATAAAAGATATCAAATAACGTGTAAGAGCAAGCTTTGTTATTTTAAATTAATTTTTATAATTAAAAATATCAAAATCCAAAACAAATAAACTGTTTTTACCCAAGATCAAGTGTTAAATTTTACAGATTTGTGCAATTTGGTAAAGCAAAACCTAAGCCTTATACACCTTCATCACAAATTTAATTTTTACTTTTTTTTAAATATTGACGAAAAAAAATATAATCAATTAATTAGTTATTTAATTAGAAGGAAAAAATGAAGAAAAGAATTAATAAAAATAATTATCAAATATTGAAAATAAAAAAATGATTTAAATTAACAAAGAAACAAGAAAATCAAAAAAGAAAAAAGGAAATTAAATCAAATAAACAGCTTTGTTTTTTTAAATTAATTTTTATAATTTAAAATAACAAAATTCAAAACAAATAAACTGTTTTTACCTAAGATCAAGAGTTAAATTTGAGAGATTTGTACAATTTGGTAAAGCAAAACCTAAGCCTAATGCACCTTTATCACCAATTTTATTGTTACTTTTTAAATATTGAAGAAAAAATAAATAAATAAATAAATAAATAAAGAATTAACAAAGAAAGAAAAAATATAAAAAAAGATAAAGGAAAATAAAACAAAAAATAAGCTATCAAATAACTTAAAAGAAAGAGCTTTATTGTTTAAATTAATTTTAAGAATTAAAAATATCAAAATCTAAAATATTTTTACAATAGCACAAGTACCAAATTTGAGAGTTTAGTGTAATTTGCTAAAGCACAATTTAATTCTGATACACCTTCATAACCAATTTAATTGCTACTTTTTAATTTAATTTTTTATTAGATTTTGAAAATAAAACATAAAATAAATTTGTTAATTAAAAAGAAAAATTAAGAAAAAATATGAAATAATAAGAAATTAATAATTAATAATAAAATCAAAAGTCGAAAATAAAAAAATGATTTGAATTAGCAAAGAAAAAAGTTTAAAAAAAAGAAATCAGACAAAAAGCTGTAAAAAAATTAAAAGAGTTTTATAGCTTTAAATGATTTTTTAAAATTAAAATTATCACAGTCCAATATAAATAAACTGCCTTTACCCAAAATCAAGTGTTAAAGTTGAGAGATTAGTGCAATTTGCTAAACCAGAACATATTCCTGATATCCCTTCATTACTAATCTTATTGTCACTTTTTAAATATTGAACAAAAAATATTCAATTTATTAGTTAATTTGAAGAAAAAATATGAAATAATAACAAATGAATTAATTAATTAATAATAAAAGTAAATGAAAAAAGTAAAAAGATGATTTAAATAAACAAATAAAAAGAGAGAGAAAAGTAAATCAAATAAAAAGCTATCAAATAACTTATAAAAGCTATTTTGTTTTAAATGATTTTTTATAATAAAAATTAACACAATTCAAAACAAATAAATTATTTTTACTAAAGGTCAAGTGTTAAATTTGAGAGATTAGTTAAATTTTTTAAAGCAGAACCTAAGCCTTATGCACCAATTACACCAATTTAACTTTCTCTTTTTAAATATTGAAGAAAAATAAAAAATTAATTAATTAGAAGGAATAAATGAAGAAAAAATATGAAATAACAAGAAATTAATTAATTAATAAAAGAAAAAATGTTTTAAATTAACAAAGAAAGAAGAAGAAGAAATTTATATATATAAAATAAATTAAAAGAGTTTTTACTAAAGATAAAGTGCCAAATTTGAGAGATTAATGCAATTTGCTAAAGCAGAGCCTAAGCTTGATGCACCCATTGCACCAATTTAATTTCCACTTTTTAAATATTGAAGAAAAAAAATATAATTCATTAGTTAATTTGAAGGAAGAAATGAGAAAAAATATGAAATAATAAGAAATGAATTAATTAATTAATAATAAAAGTAAGAGGTGAAAATAAACAAATTAGCCAAATTAACAAAGAAAGAAGAAGCAAAATAGCAAAATGGAAATAAAAAGCTATTAAATTAATTAAAAGAGCTTTATTGTTTTTATTTAATTTTTATAATTAAAAAATTATCATTCCAAAACAAATGCACTATTTTTACTTAAGTTCAAGTGTCAAATTTGAGAGATTAACACAATTTGTTAAAGCAGAACCTAAACCTGATGCATCAAAATCACCAATTTGATTTATTCTTTTTAAATATTTAAGAAAAAATATATAATAAATTAATTAGAAGGAAACATAAATATATGAAACAATAAGAAATGAATTATATAATTAGAAATAAAAGCAAAAGGTGAAAATAAAAAAATGGTTTAAATTAACAAAGAATGAAGAAAAAGAAAAATAAATCAAATAAATTAAAAGGTATAAATTAATTAATTTTTATAATTATAAATAACTCAATCCAAATAAATAAACTTTTTTTATCAAGTATAAGTGTTGGTAGCAAAAAATGGATTAAAATATTCAATAATAAAAATAAATAATTAAAAATATAAAGTGAAAATTAAGCAATAATAGCTAAATAAATATTAATATTAATAATAATCAATAAAAAGAGATGAGAATTTCTATAATTATTATATTATTAATAAAATGAAGGTTTAATATTTAAAAAATAGTAATAATAATAATATTAATAAATTAAGTATACATCAGATCAAGGTGGAGAACCTAATGAGATTAAAATGAAGAATTTAAAAACTTTTTTTATTAATTAAAATAAATTTAAAGGATATTGATAAAAAAATAAATAATTACTTCTTCTAATTTGTTGTAATAATTAATCTATTATATCATTTATTTTTTTTTTCTTCAAAAATATTAATTAGCAATTTATGAAAAGTTAATTACTTAATTAAGTATCGATCAAAAGTACAAACAAATAAATTATGATAATTATCAAATTTTAATTTATAAATTTGCTTTTATAGCAAAAAAGTTAGTGTAACATTTATTATTTAATCCTATTATTCTATTAAAATCTTATACTTAAAAATAAAGTATGAATTAGAGATGGTTAGTTAATATTCTAGTAATTTATTAATTACTCACTAACTTATTAATTAATTAACTTAATATTCTTAAATTTTATTAAAATAATTTTTATTTAGTAGATTTTTTTGTTTTTTCTAGTAACGAATGATGGGAATATTATTAAATGCTGTAAATGCTCATTAATTAAGGCATTCCCTAAGTATCTTTTTTGCCCAAAAAAAAGTGCCATATTATCTAAATTTTAATGAAATTACTAAATAATTTATTTAGTAAACAAATTCTTATTACTTATTTATTTATAGAGATTAATTAATTTAAAAATATTTAAAATAACTTGGAAGATTTATGTAATTTAAATAATTTTAAATGAAATATTAAAGTCTATTTCTAAAAGTTTGTTCTTAATTGGCATGAAAATTTTTACAAAAAACTTATTTCATTTTTTAGCTGAATAATAAAAAATTAAATCATCATTTAAATTTCATTAAATTGTTTATTTAATTGCTTTTTATAAAAAAAATGGCAAAAGGATCATTAAAAGACAAATTTTATACCGAAATCTATCTATATTGTAATGAAATTAATAAATAATTTAATAAAAAATTCTTATTTATTTATTTAATATATATTAATCAGTTTAAAATTTAAAGCATCTTTCTTGGAATATTTAGTTAATTCAAATAATTTTAAATGAAATTATAAAATTTAATTCTCAAAGTTAGTTCTTAATTTGCATTGAAATTTATAACAAGAAAAACTTATTTCATTTTTTAGCAAAATAATTAAAAACAAAATTATCATTAACATTTTTATATGATTGCTTTTTATAAAAAAATGACAAAAACAGCCAAATTTTATACTGAAAAGTATCTAAATTATAATGAAATTACTTAATTAAGTATGATTTCAACCTCAAGATTTTATATAAAAAATTATATTTGGAGTTCGTGCTGCTTTGAAGTATTTAAATAAAATGGCATTGCAATAATTTAAATTAAAAATATATTTATGAAAAATAAACTGAAATAGAATTAAAATAAATGATTTTATTTATATTTAGATTGAGTTGAAGTAGCATTTTCAAATATTAAGTGGAAGAATTCATTGTTTTTTGATAATTGAGTTTAATAGATAATAATTATAAACAAATAGCATTTAATTTAATTAAAGTTAGTATTTTTTATTAAATGAATCAGGAATTTGATTAAAGATTAAATTTTTCGCAATAGCAATTTAGAGATTCCCATGAGGTTAGTTAAGGCAGCGTTTACACTAGCGATAGAAAGGGTTTTCATTAGATTGGCAAGGAAAAAAATTTAAATGTGCAGACTAACTCTATTCGTTTGCAATAAATTAGAGATATTTCTGCAGGTCCTATTATTTAGAGCAGAAATTAGATTGATAATTAGGAATAAATTTTAATGAAAAAGAGAGAAAGCACGCCAGCTTCGGCAACAATTCCATTCAAACCAATTGTTAAAAGTAATTTACATTTCGAAGAACTATCAAAAAAGTATAAATTCAGCGTCAACGAAATAAAAATTCTTAAATCAAGGTAGACATATTTAATAATATAATATAAAGAATGATATCATGTTTAAAGCGATTTTTTCATCATAAAAATTCATAATTTTAACATAAATAAGATGCTAAGAGTGGCAGTTAATTATATTAAATAAATTGTTAATATTTTGGGTTAAAAAATGAGCAATTTCAATAAAATGAAAAGGATTTTTCCTGCTTTAGAAATTAAGATAAATTTGTTGTATTTATTTCTTACTCGTTTACTTAGTTATTCAATAAATAAATGCATTTAATATTCTAAATAGATTTGATACTATTAGCAAGAAAGGAATTTTAACACTTTAGAATTTCAAAGATAGCTTGGGAATTATGGGAAGAGATAACAATTTTGTAGATAGAATATTTAAACTTATGGATGAAAACGGTACAGAAAAAGCAGTATTTGAAGATTATTTGAGATATTTGTCTTAGCTTTTGAATGGAAATTAAAATGAAAAAGCAAAGTTATCTTTTAAAATTCTGTCAAACGGAAAGAAAATAATTACTTACGAAGATATGTATTAGCTTGTCCATCAAGTTTCTTACTTGTGGGCAAACATGACATCAACTAATTGCACACCAAGCAAGGAATATATTGACAGTATTTTTAGTATTTTTGATTATGATAAAGACGGAGAAGTGTCATTCGATGAGTAAGTAAAATAACTTATCTCATTTAAAAAGCTAATCTTTTTTGTATAATTAATTATAGCTATTACAATATTTACTCCTTGGAAACTGAAATTTTTGGATGGTTTGAGTTCTTGAATCAAAGTATTTTCTTAAATTTAAATAATAATATTTTTAGCTTTATTTGTTCAATTTAGGTGAAATAAATATCTAAAAAATGAGAGAAGAATATGAAAAGTACATTAAAAACAAAAGAAAAGGTTCTCATTAAAGGCATGAAGAACCCTAGCTCTAAAACAATGAAAACAATTTAAGTACCAAAATTCATGACATTAAATCTAAATTGGGCGATCTTTCTAAAAACTTATTAGACTCATTAAATATCATTTAAGCAGGTAACCATTTAAGAAATTTATTCAATCAAATTAAATTAATCTAAAATAATTGGCTAACTTTGTTTCAAAAATATTTAAAAATGATAAAATATCTTCAAAAGCATAATGTTTGTTAATAAAAAAATGAAGAAATTAACATTCTTACTTATATCGATTATATTCCAAAATGCAATAAAGCAAATCAAAAATATTAACTATGAAATATTAAAACAAATGAAACGAATAATATTTTTACATCATCAAATTAATGTTAAGAATTTTCAATAATAAATATTATTTATTAACTTATTAAATATTAGCTAAAATTATGAAAGATTAATGTTAAAATTTTCAACAAAAGAACTGAAATTTAAATTATAAATAAGTCATTTATTTGACAGAGCAATTATGAATTATTTGTTTGAATAATTGAATTAATATTTATTTATTTAACTGAAATGTTATTTAAATATAGAAAGAGAAAGTATCACGAAAGCTTGTTAAGAATAAAAAGATTTACTGAAGTAACAACAGGATTAGTCTTAATCCTCATTTAACAACTATACTAATTAGATAAAATAAATGAGGGGACCATAAATACTATCTCACTCACCAACTGAAAAATCTGGAGACGATCACCCTGAGGAAGATGACAGTCATGAAAACTTAATTTTATAGCTTTAGTAGCATCAATAATATTATAATAAAATTGAGAATCTAGAGTAGAATTTTTAAAATGATATTGTTAGAAAATTAAAATAAGTTTTGAGCATAAGCTAGAGCATAAGAAACATTTGCAATAAGCAAGAAGAGAAAGATAATATTGGTTAAAGCATTCAACCAGGTAGCTAATAAAATTTATATCCTGTTTCTCCTTCCAGGAGAAACGTTAAGCAACTAACTATGAAAGTCCAGCCCCGACAATTATCTAAAAAGCCAAGCTAGATTTACTCTGACATTTCTCCAGCTATATTCTCTTCGCATAATAAGACCAAATCTTATGAACAAAGTCCATATTTACAGAGTAGCATTTATTCATTCATTTATTAAATAAATAATAAATTAAATTAAACTATAATTTAGATACATTCGATTCCACTGCTCAAAAGTATTTTTATTGTGTCAAGCAACAAAATGTTAGCAATTTTTTGCATTTTTAGGGAAGAACAGCAAGATGTTAGAAAAAATTTATCGATCTATTTTGGACATTAAAATTGGAATCTAGTGTTAAATATGATGATCGGAATTAGGTAAGCTATTGTTGATTTGTATCCCTCTGAGTATGACAAAGAACTATAAGATGTTCATTTTACTGATTACAAAATGTATGACTTATACCCAAAGAGAAATTCTGGATATGACATTAAAGATACATGCAAATTCTATGATTATGCTCCTAAAATATTTGAAAGAATCAGATCTTTTTACGGCATAAATAATGAATAATACAGAAGATCAATAGGTCCTGAAAGTAAATCATTCATTAAATATTCCACAAAAATCTATTAGCATAAAATCATTGATAACTTATTAAATACATTTGACATTAATCTAACAAAAACTTATTTGTTTATATTAATAAAATTTAAATTATTATTTTTAATTGTTGCTTTTGTTGGAATCAAAAACTGATTATTCATTTTTTATATTTTTTTTAGATCTTTTGGGGAATTTAATTATGGGAAATCTAAGCAACTTAACAGAAAAATATTCATCAGGAAAAAGTGGATCTTTCTTTTACTACTCATATGATGGTAAATTAGTTGATGATATAAATAAAACAAATAAAGATAAACATTGTTTAATTTAGATTAATATATGCTCAAAACAATAAAGAAAGAAGAGTTTGACTTTTTCAGAAACATATTAAAGCCTTATTATAATCATGTTAGTAGCTAAAGAGATACATTAATGATAAAGTGAATATATATTCTTTTAAATTATCTTTAAATTTTTGTAATTAAATAAATATGAAATAGAATTTATGGATTGCATAAAATGGAAGTATACAAATCTAAAAATAGCTTTGAGGATAAGTATTTCTGTGTAATGGGTAATCTCTTTAGGTGGAATAGAGATATTTCTGTTAGATATGATTTAAAAGGTTCAGAATATAAAAGAAGTTCAAGAACTAGTAAAAACTAAATAATGTAAATCTATCTATTTTTAAATTAGCAATTCAAACATTTTTCAATTGAAATTTAACATTTTAATTTCTAAATTAACATAAACAACTTTAAATTTTAAATAATTCTTCATGAATTACTCAATTCATATATCATGAAATTTCATGCATATCTATTTATTTATTTAATTTTTTATCATATCCAAAATTATTCATGCAGTCATTTCCTAGTGAGCAATTTTAGATTTTCTTAATTTTTGAAACTATAAACTATCCATAGGAGCTAAAAAATATTTTATATACCAAATAAATAACAAATAAATTAAAAATATTTAATGCAAAATAAATTGAAATATATGGATGGATAGATCAATTACATTCAAAATAAAAATTAGAGTTTGAAATTACTTTTTAAACCCCAAAATTATTTACTTTTATCAATTTTTAACTGAGTAAATGAAATATGTTCTCACTTGCACTATCTAATATAAGTAATTAACACTATATAGATAGATAGATAGATAGATAGATAGATAGAAAAAGAAAAATAAATAAATATATAAATATAAAAAATGTCCTTATAATTAAGTTTAAAATGCTATCTAAGATCAATGAAATAAAATATATTTTTTTAAAAACAGAGACAAATCTATAGCTTTAAAGGACTAAGACTGGAAAGAAGATAATAGATTTATTAATGTTTCACCAGAATATGAAAGATATTTAAAAAAATAGATAGAAATAGATACTAAGTTTTTTATTGAAAATTAAATTATAGATTATTCATTGCTAATAGGATTTTCTGACATAACTGAGTAAGGTAAGTTATCAAAGATTTTTTTTGTTTATTCATATATCAGTTCTATTCAATAAATAAATAAATAAATAAAGACAATAAGAAGGTTTGTTTTGCTTTGAAAAAACAATCTACTTAATTAAACAATTGACTTATTTATTTATTTATTGGTTGATTGTTATGAAATTTATTTTTTTATTGATAAAATTATAATTTTAAAAAATAATTTATTAAGATAAAGAAGAAGATTAATTGGAATTATAAGCCTACTATTCAAGTTAAGGATAGCAATAGTAATAGCTTAGATTTTATGAAGTAAAATTTTATATTTAACTATGAATTAGTTGATATCGTTGGTTGAACTTTATTTAATTTAGAAATATAAAGGAGGAATTCTTAGTTTAGACAAAAAATAAATTCTTTACGTAGGCATCATAGATATTTTTACATATTTTGGGTAAAATTTAAATACTTTTTTTGATTTAATTAATATTTTAATTTATGACATAGAATGAAAAAATACTTTGAATATGCTATTAAAACAACTGTTGTAAATGAAAAAGTAAGCTGTGTTCCTCCAAAAAAATACGGAGATAGATTTAAAGATTTCATGCTTAAATATATTAATTCGTCCAACCTTAATATCTAGAATTGAAGAATAAGATAATTATTCTAAGATAGATCAATGTATATGTAAATCATATTATGGTTAGTTAATAAATATTTAAAGGTACTTTTATCCAATAAGTAAGTTGTATTATGCAAAAAGTAATTAAGGTTCAAAATTCTAGCATATTTTTATCAATAAATTTAATTAAAATTATAATAAATTAATTTATTTCTTAAAAATGAGCTGATTTGTTTAGTATATTTTATGTCATAAATATTATTCATGTTAAAATGATCATAGTTATGTTTAAAACTAATAAACATGATATGAGACAAATATATAAATATTTCATTATTATGCTAGTATTTAATATTTATCTTTTCATTTGAGATATTAAGAATGTCATTTCTATATTTTAAATTAGCGAATATGTAGAAGGAATTTTTACTCATTAGATATAATTATTCATTTATTCATTCAATATATTTAATGTATTAGATTAAATATGTTAAAGATAGATAATAAATTAATAGCCGGTTTAAGATATTTTTTAAAATAAAAAAATATTATGTTGAGAGATAGATTTATTAATTTGTTAAATACCAACTACTTATTTGTTTTTTATTTATTTATTTATTTATTTATTTAGGATATTTTATGTCAAAGAGTTTGTTTTTATTCAGTTATAGATTTCAAAAAATTGAACATTGTTTATTTCATTCATTGATTTTATAATGATTTGGCCAATTGATTTTTAAAATTGTGAATCTTAATAAATATTTAATTGATAGATATTAAATAAATTTTGAAATTTATTTGCTATTTTTGTTTGTTATTTTGTATAAAGTTATTAATTAATTAATTAGTTGAAGTAAGTATGAGAAATAGTTTATTTAATGAGAGAAAATATTTGTTGCTGAGAAAGAAGTTAGACGAGCTTCATTACACTCAGCCACTTTAAATAGAAAGTGCTGAGTTGGTAGATAAATTGCTGAATGATTTGCTGAAAACTAGTGAAGGATTCCAAAAATTAAAAAATAAAAATTAAGAACTTGAATAATAATTATGCATAATTGAGAAATCTTTAAATCCTCTAAAGGCAGAAAACTAGAAATTGATGAGAGAGAACAACAACCTTTAATCAGAAATAATTTTATCAAGCGAGAATGCTTAACAAAAGTACAATTTATTAACAGTTAGGCTCAAATAACTGCAAACTGAGGCATAGGACCTAAAATTTGTATTGTAGAAATCAGAAGAAAGATGCTTAAAGCTTTAAGATGAAGTAATTTATTTATTTTCAACCACTTCAATAGCGAATAAAGAATAAAGAATTGATACATTATATTTTATTTTATTTAGAATTCAGCTCTCAAGAATAAATTGGATACAATTTCAGCAAAAGTTTATCTGCCTTCTTGCGAAAAAGGTTTTGAAGATCTGCCAAAAAGCTACGTTAACTCTAATTATAAAAGCTTGACAAATATGTCTATTGGTATTAGTTGAATTTTTAATGAAAATAAGTTATTTAAATTCCTTTTGTATAAATATTTTACAGCAAGGGATAATAGAGAAGGTTTCAATGTGCTGCCATAAGATAACTCAAATTAAAAGAATAGCAACTCATCTAAAGAATATGACATTTAGAGACTATAAAATATATCAGATTCAAAGTAAAACTACCAAGATGGATATTCAAATCTAATTAGCACAATTAAAGAATTGCAAGAACAATTAAGAAACTGCAAAGAATAGGTCCATACTTAAGAAGCTTAATTATCTTATTTGAAGATGCAAGTAAGCAATAGAGATGGCGAAATAAATAGATTAAAAACTAGACTCGATGGTAAATAATTTATCAAATATATTTAAATTATTAAAGTATAATTACAAGAATGAAAATATATCTTTTTAAATAAATTAATAAAAAACAGTTGGTGGTATAAATATGGTTAAGCTAGTTCAAGATTACAATTATATGCAGTAAAATGATAAAATAAAATTACTGAACCATTAAATTGATTATCTCAATAAAGAAAATACAGAAATGGATTCTATTTTAAGATCTAAGCCATATATAGCCTTATCATAAGCAAATGTAAAGCTTTTAGCAGAGAACTCTTCTTATCTTGAAAAATTAAGAAAGACTGAAGAAATACTTGAAGAATATGAAAGAAGGTTTTAAATTTAACAACAAAGTGCGAAATATACAAAATAATTATCTTAAAATGCTTTAGTCGATAATTGATATTAATATATGAAAGACTTACTTATAATTTGATATCAAATTTTCGTTTTTTTTGTGTAAAGTGAGTTTAGTAAAATGAAAAATTTTCAACTTTAGCATTTTATAAATTCTAAATTTATGTTTAAAATATAGTTTGTTTAAATTAATATATTGATAGATATTTAGCTTCAAAAATAAATATATTTTATCATTTTAAAATATCAGATTTTTCATTTTAGTTTAATTGCAGTAAGAAATATAAAAAAATGGAGGAAATGAAAAGAAATTAACAATTACCTTCACTCCTCACTAAAAACTGAGGGTGTTTAAATTAAAAATTAATAAATTTATATAGATTTGTACCTATAGATAAAGCAAAACCTCCAAACCTCCGATTTGCATTTTTCTAGAATATTTAGAGTATATTTTATAATAAAAAATAAGATAAGCACTTTAAAATTTATAATACCACATTAAAAAAAATTACATAAATTCTTGATATGAAATAAGCTTATAAAAAGCAAAATTCAAGCATTAATAACTTTTAAATTCATTAATTTACTCTAAATATTCTCAAATAAAAAAATCAAATTTGTATTGTCTGAATGAATAAATGATAATTTAAAAAACAATTATTTTATGATTTTAAAAAATATAAAATGAAAAAAATGACCACTAAAGTTAAAATAAAAAGTAAAACTTGATTTCTCCCTGAGGTTTTATTTAAATCATGGCATCTAATTAATCATGATAAATAAAAAAAGGATAGAAATATGATTGATGGATCATATTTAAGATTAAAATATAACTGGCATATAAAAGTTTGGCATTTAATAAAATGTAATATAACACTAAATGTTTCAAATTATTTGATCATTTTTGGAAAAACCAGAGGGTTTACTTATGAGGATTTAATTTATTTAAGTAAATTTAATTTTTTTATTTTTTATAAATAATTTATTTACTTACAAAAATATGAATGATATTTATAAATATAAAATCAATAATAAAATCTATCTATCTATTATATTTTAGGTAAGAAACACTTTTTCAAAATATTATATAATAAAATATATAATACTATTCGAACATTTTATATTTATTCATCCTTTTTTCACCTATTTTTTATCAATAGTGATCAAAGACAACTAATCTTTTTGATTTAAGAAACTTGCTTAATACTTTGAACTTTTATGATTCATTCATTGAGCTAAAACTTTTATAATAAATTTGTGTAAATTTTAAAATAAATATCAAAATAGAATAAACTTTTAAATTTAAAATTATTCTTTAAATTAATAAATAAAATAATATTAGTGGAATAAAAAAGATAAAAAAATAAAATAAATAAAAGCTATCAAATAAATTCAAATAGCTTTTTTGTTTTATATTCATTTTTATAGTTTGAAATATTACAATCCAAAACAAATAAACTGTTTTTACCAAAAGCCAAGTGTCAAATTTGAGAGATTAATGCAATTTGCTAAAGCAGAACATAAGTCTGACACACCAATTGCACCAATTTAATTTCCCCTTTTTAAATATTGAAGAAAAAATATATCATTAAATAGTTAATTAAAGGAAAAAATGAAGAAAAAATATGAAATAAATAATAAAAGCAGAAGTTGAAAATAAAATGATGAGCTAAATTAACAAAGAAAGAATAAAAAAAAGCAAGCACAATAAAAAGAAAAAGAAAAAAGAGATTTATTGTTTTTAATTAGTTTTTATAATTAAAGATATCACAATCCAAAACAAATAAATTGTTTTTACCAAAGTTGAAGTGTCAAATTTGAGAGATTAATGCAATTTGCTAAAGCAGAACCTAAGCCTGATGCACCAATTGCACCAATTTAATTTCCCCTTTTTAAATATTGAAGAAAAAATATATCATTAAATAGTTAATTAAAGGAAAAAATGAAGAAAAAATATGAAATAATAAGAAATAAATAATAAAAGCAATAGTTGAAAATAAAATGATGAGCTAAATTAACAAACAAAAAAAAGCAAGCACAATAAAAAGAAAAAGAAAAAAGAGCTTTATTGTTTTTAATTAGTTTTTATAATTAAAAATATCACAATCCAAAACAAATAAATTGTTTTTACTCAAGGCCAAGTGTCAAATTTGAGAGATTAATGCAATTTGCTAAAGCAGAACCTAAGCCTGATGCACCTTTATCACCAATTTAATTTTTACTTTTTAAATATTGAAGAAAAAATATATCATTAAAAAGTTAATTAGAAGGAAAAAATGAAGAAAAAATATGAAATAATAAGAAATAAATAATAAAAGCAGAAGTTGAAAATAAAATGATGAGCTAAATTAACAAATAAAGAACAAAAAAAAAGCAAGTACAATAAAAAGAAAAAGAAAAAGAAAAAAGAGCTTTATTGTTTTTAATTAGTTTTTATAATTAAAAATATCACAATCCAAAACAAATAAATTGTTTTTACCAAAGGTTAAGTGTCAAATTTGAGAGATTAATGCAATTTGCTAAAGCAGAACCTAAGCCTGATGCACCTTTGTCACCAATTTAATTGTAACTTTTTAAATATTGAAGAAAAAATATATCATTAAATAGTTAATTAAAGGAAAAAATGAAGAAAAAATATGAAATAATAAGAAATAAATAATAAAAGCAAAAGTTGAAAATAAAATGATGAGCTAAATTAACAAATAAAGAACAAAAAACAAGCAAGCACACTAAAAAGAAAAAGAAAAAAGAGCTTTATTGTTTTTAATTAGTTTTTATAATTAAAAATATCACAATCCAAAACAAATAAATTGTTTTTACCCAAGGAAAAGTTTCAAATTTGAGAGATTAATGCAATTTGCTAAAGCAGAACCTAAGCCTGATGCACCAATTGTACAAATTTAATTTCCACTTTTTAAATATTGAAGAAAAAATATATCATTAAATAGTTAATTAAAGGAAAAAATGAAGAAAAAATATGAAATAATAAGAAATAAATAATAAAAGCAGAAGTTGAAAATAAAATGATGAGCTAAATTAACAAAGAAAGAATAAAAAAAAGCAAGCACAATAAAAAGAAAAAGAAAAAAGAGA